TCTGTTGGCAGATTTCAGCACTCGGAGCCATCCTGTTGCAACAAAAGGCCTGTCAGCACATCTGATCCATTCTTGTGGGCCATGAAAAACACCTTGGTCACAGTCGGCCCTCTTGCAGGATGTACATAAATCATGCCATTTTGATTTGCAGATTATTTTTGAGCTGCATTTTGCAATATCCTATTATGTCTGTTCAGCAAAGTATAGGGACATCGAGATAAATACAAAGCTGAATGAGTAATGTCTACCTCCAAGCCTTGATTCAGTCTTCTCCAGCATAAGACTATGAAAGGAAATTGCTAGTTTTCCATGAAGAACGACTTAATGTATAACCATAATTTGTCCTGTGGCAGACACCAAAGGGCAGAAGCATGAGCATGGGGGTTACGCAGAGCTGAGCCTGTGTCTTTGTTCCCCAGCCTGACTGCAGCCAGTACCCAGTTTCCACGCTGGATGATGGCAGACAGCTGATGGCCTGCACCATGATCTATGATCCCATCTGTGGCACTGATGGTGTCACTTACGCCAGCGAGTGTACACTGTGTGCCAACAACCTGTAAGTAGTCATTCTCCCTGGGGGATTCACAGCGGTGGTGCTTGGATCTGTAATGTCAAGTAGTGTGCAAGGGCTCCCCCTAAAGCCCTGTGCTGAATTGGTCCTGCCTGTCTACCCCCATTTTCCTGCTCCCCCGGTTGGTGTTTGACATGGGTGTTCAACCCCAGAGCCCCGCAAAGGGAGACACGTCAGCTGGGAAGAATGTTATTCCAGAAGACACATGCCTGGTCCATAAGCGCATATTCTTGTTAGTGATGTGTGGGCAGTGCCAAGCAAATTTATCTGAAAATCTCCTGTGTGCACTGTGTAGGAGTGAGGTTTGTTCTTGCACTGTGGTTGTAATGGGGAGGGTTGTGGCAACAATGGTTTCTCTTTCCTCCAGGGAGCGTCAGGCCATTGTTGGCAAAAGAAAGAATGGACGCTGTGAAGAGGATATTACGAAAGTGAGTGGGAAAGGATGGGAACTAAGAGTGAGGTCCAGTGCCTGCTACACTCATGGGGGACTGTCCTCTGCTCTGGGTTAGGAATTGGGATAGCGGTGGTGTGCTTACTGGTCATAATCAATATCTATCCCATTGCTCTGTAACAGTGCAGAAAAAGATGTGGCACTGAGAAGGAATAGTAAAAGATCGCATCTGCCACCAGGAGGAAACTGAGTTTGCTATTATGATGTTACAATTTAATTTCTCAGTGGGGTGTCATTCCTTATGCTGGGGGGGACGGGATGGGATGTGGTTTCCTCGCAGGTAGACTCACGTCTATTTTCTGTGTGCAGGAGCATTGCAAGGACTTCCAACAGCCCTCTGCTCTGTGTACCATGGAATATATGGCCCACTGTGGCTCTGATGGCAAAACATATAGCAACAGATGTTTCTTCTGCAATGCCTACCTGTATGTACAAGAGTAAAACTCTTCCTCCCATGATCAATTCCTATATCTGCTATGAGCGCAGGGCTGTTTTCATAATGGGTTTTTGACTAACTGCTTATGGGCATATACTGAATATTTCTGATGCACCATGACTTGTTCAAGGACGTGGGTGTTTTTGCATTTTAAGGGAAAACACAAAGGGCCCATTTCTGTGATCTGTATGTGGCTTCCCGTTTGTTAACTTGAAAGATATTTTACTCATTTTCATCAGCATGTAATCTTCCCCACAAGCTTATCAGGGCATGTGGAAAGTACTTCACCAAACCAATTGGATTGTATCAAATGTGTGAAACTATTCATCTTTCCTTTAATGATAATAATGAAAAGGCTTTTGAGACTGTTCTTTATCTACAGTCAATGCTAAGCTAACACTTGAGGCAGCGAGTGAGGAACAGGGTTTCTTCACTGAATATCCTCTGTCTAATCCTTCTCTTTCCTTTTCTCACCAGGGAAAGCAACAGGACTCTGAACCTCATGAGTATGACTGAATGCTAAGTGTGTGCTGAAGTCCAGCCCAGGAAGACAAACTCCCTTACATGTGGCTTCCTACAGGCTGATCTTCCCCAACAGCTTTCCTTCAGTTTGTCTCGTTTCCTTAGCTCCTGAAACACTTCTTCAATAAACTCACTTTGCAACATTTCTCCATGTTAATTCCATGTCTCATTCCTTTTGCCCCTTTGCTTCCCTGACATGGTACTTCTAGAGGTGCGTATGTATTTTTCTATTGATATCCTGCTCTATCAAACATTGTGGGTAAATATTTTCCTGCCATGTGACAGTGTAATCCCTGCTCTGGATAAGGCCTGACCTTTCTTGGAGCTCCCAGGCACTTCTTTACTCTTCAGAGTCTCTTTGTCAGTATTAGTTTTATCCAGACATTAATATTTCTCCCTGACCTGATCATGGACTTCACAGTGCAAGGAGGTGTTTAACTCAAGGGCATGGTCCACATTCTCCACAGGGCAATGTCTAGGATGCAGGTGGTGGTTTGCTCTCAAGAAAAGCCCTTTCTTGCTGCGGGCTAGAAAGGGAACCTGGCTGGTCCTGGCTTCCACTGCTTGTGGAGCCTGTCTCATGGAAGAGGCAGCAGCCTCTCTCCACTGAATTTGTCCTCAGTGTCAAGTGCTGTTATAGGATATAAACTACAGGAGGGGAATGTCAAGATTCCTCCAGGGTCACAGACAGAAGTGTCTACTCACAAAATGTCTTGATTTATTAATGCAACGGAATACCTTCAGGACTGGTGGGCAGAAAACACACCTGGAGTGGGGGACAGCCCTGGTACATCACTGCAGCTGCCTGACTTCTAAAGCCATTCAGGAAGGAAAAAGGTGCAGAGGTTCACTGGTGACCAGTTTTAAATCAATATATAACAAGTCATAGGAAAGTGGTTCTGCCTGATAGTCATGTTTTGTCTACTTTTTTAAGGCCAAGGAGCTCAGGACCTGGTGATATAATTGATGTCACTTTGGTGTCTGTATTGATGTCAGGGAGTTAGGGGGAATATATGGGCTGCCCTTCATCTGTTGGCAGCATAGCTACATCTACTACCAGTAGCTTTACACCAGGTCATCAAAGCTATTACAAATCCAGTATTTCAGGATTAAAAGATTTCTTCTGGACTACAGCTAATGGTTTCCTGATTCAATGTCCATTGTAGTTTACTAGAGAATAACACAATTATTTGGATTGGTTTGGAAAGGCACTCTTTGAATTGTCGGGCTAGAAGAATAGGCTGAAGGCAAGTGTTCCTGAGTTGGAGATACTGTGGGTACTGTACCAGGGAATGAGGCCATAGTACCTCTGTGCCATTAGTGTCTGTGGCTGGCATGTACTTTTTGAGACGATTTGCAGCTAACAATGGCTTATTGTACTTCTCTTGGGTCTATGTCCTAATGCAAACACTCCTTTGGTTTATATAACCTTTTTGCCATTTTCAGTCAAGTTGTTTTTGCAGAACATGCTGCTTTAGTCTTGTTTGAGTGTTACTTGGTTACCCTCAGGGATAAGACCTGAGTAATTTTTTTTCTTGTGGACTTTGGCAGACTTTCACTTGGACTTAGTGCTGACTGCTGGCTTTTGCAAGCCTTTGCAGTAAAGCTGTCAAGATCCAACTGAATAACATTAGCTGGGCACAGCCATGGCAAAGCCTCCTCTGTGGAGCTCATTGTCTGATGACACCAAAGGCAAACACGGACTCAGGGAGGTATAATGTTGAGACCAAGTCAGAGCAACCCAGGGAAGAGGCCAAAGTAGTCATTAGACAGAGGTTTCCATGCAGTACTCACCAGTAGGTTTCGGGTAAAAGTACATAATGGAATAATCACTAAAACTGGGCCAGAAAATGAGAAAAGCCTGACACTGGAGTTTAAATATCCCTCAGGCTCAGGGGGTGTTTTATGAAGCAACATAACTCTAGAAAAGTAGAGCAGTCTTCTTCTCAGGGACAGAGCTGTTTTCTGTGCCTTGGAGTTGTTTTTCAGCTGTTGCAGGGTTACTTACTGCGTGTGTGCTAATTACATGATTTCTTTCTTCTTTGTGTTGGAACTGGCCTCAAGTTGCACCAAGGGAGGTTTAGATTGTATATTAGGAAAAATTTCTTCACTGAAAGGGGTGTCAACCATCGGAACAGACTGCCCAGGGAAGTGGTTGAGTCCCCACCCCTGGAGGTATTTAAAAGACTTGTAGATGTGGCACTTGGGAACACAATTTAGTGGTGGACTTGGCAGTGCTGGGTTAATGGTTGAACTCAATGATCTTAAAGGTCTTTTCCAATGAAATGGATTCTGTGACAAAGAAGCAAGGGTCAGGCAAAGACAAGCACATTCAAGAGGAAGCGCTGAATTTTTGTGGTTTAGGAGACAGGTAGGACAATGCCAGGTTCAAAGTGCCACTAGGAGACTTGAAAGGTGCTTTTGAGGTATGGTTGAGTGAGTTGGATGCCTGTTTGTTCATAGCTAGAGGAATGGCTGGATAGATGGACAAATAGAGCACCAAGAGATCATCTCATGAGTTCAGTGCTTGCCAGACTGCAAATATATTCAGTAACTGTCTCCACTACAATGCCGACAGATGCTTTGGTGCTGCTTAGCCTATTGCTCCGTTGCTTCTTGGGTGCACAGTGCTGCAAAATGCCAAGGCTGACTTTCTTAGTCACCTCACACAAAAGCCTGAGCAGCTTCGAAATGGTCAGGTTACTCTCAAAACTCATTCACTTCTCATGATAAGAAAGCCTGTATTTTAACTTGGAAAGAGGCACTAAAAGGATCAGACACAAGCATGGATTTAGTCCTGCTTCAGTGAACTCTTCTTTCTGCACTCTTTTCATGAACAGAACTAGCTGTAGGTGCAGCCTTATATCCTCAGTCAAGGCTGCAGGGAAGGATCCAGCCCCACACACTGCCTTGCAGCCGCTACTGCAGCTCTGGATATCAGTGACCAAGCTCCTAAGCCATGTCAAGGGCTGATGAACTTTGCTGTATTTTCATCCAAGGTCTGACCTCAGGATTCGTGACCTGTGAATGCACTGGTACATATTACAAAGGCAATACTTTAAAAATATAAATGTTCTCTCTCCTTCCTTGTTTGTCTTGGTTACCTTTATAGCCTTATCAATGTCTTTTTGAATCTGCAGTCATTTTTCTTGCAGCACAAAGAGGAGGAAGAATGAGGTGAATCACTGAAATCTTGATTGATAAGTGGGATTTAGAAAACAATACTTAGTCTTTTCATATGGAGCCAAACATTTTTTTCCATTATTTATCAGCACTCACCTATCTGTGACTTGAAAAAGAACCCAACAGACAACAACTTTTTCTTGATAGTGTCTGTACCTAAACTTCAGTCAAACACTTTAGCAAAAATTCTATGCCTTTCAAAACTATGTCTGCTGATTTACCTTGTTTTAGCTTTTTTTTTTAGTATGCTGCTTTTTCTAGCGAGGCATGCAGATGGGCCTGGATACTCTGTCAATCTCTCTTGAGTGGTGCTTGAGAGTGACAAGGCTCATCCCACTGATTTTTTAATGTTCTTTTTTTTCAGAAGAATATCTAAATGGGATGGTTTTTACGACTTTTAGAACTCCATGTTCCTCAAAACAAAAGAAATACAGAAATAATTATACGAACTCACTGTGTCAGTTGCACAGGTCTATTTAACTGTCTGATAGCAAAGAAAATACTCTGGGAACTGGAAAGATTTCCCCAGACCTCTATATTTAAAGAAATATAATCCTGGTATCCACTTGTTTCATCCGTCAATACATTCACACTCAGAAATGTCCATTCTCTTGCTGTAATTTAATGTTTGATACAATTTTATTTGATTCTTTGCCATGCTCTGGGTTCCGGTTGTGTGCTCTCTGCTGATCAATGAGTAGATACAAGAAAAGCAGACAGCAGCCGTGGAAAGCAGCCTGTCTCCAACTGGCAGACATCCACTCTGCTTAGGAGGGTTTTCCAGAATCTCACCAGCTGAGGTGCAGCCCCATAAGTTTAAATATACTGTGAATTTGCAAACAAAGAGCATTCGCATAGCGTGGTGCTTCCTGCCTATTTTTCTTTCATAGAAGTAAAACCTGAATTTCATTCAAGCCCCCTGAATAATGAGGAACGTTTGGAAATGTATTGCTTTAAGCTCTTCTACTCTGCTCCCTTTAAAGCGCAGCCCCGGGGGCACTGCTGAGGATGGCCGGCTTGGGCCCCCTGGCCAGGCGCTGGAGCAGATCTGTGGCACAGATGGTCTCACTTACACCAGTGAATGTGGGATATGTGCCCATAATGTGTCAGTCTGATGGAAAGAACGTGCTTTCCGAGTGACAGTCCCCTAGCCCCTGGCCTCTCCCTGTTCTTTTCCAATTTATCCTCTTTTTCTCCCTTTTCACTCGCTGTTTGTGCTTGGAGGGAAATCATGAAGATTTAGTGGAGAAAACAGTCAAAGAAAATAGCTGGAGTGGAAATCCAGATGATGCAGTATATTCAGATGGCACAGGTTTGTTGACTGGTAGGAATATAATAGCCAGAGACAGTATAACCACTTCATTGCTGGTGGTTAACTCAGATGAACTCTCCTTCACTTGCACTATTTGGGAGTTTTATTTACATTCCCAGCACCCAACCCCCTTTGGGAAAATGGTCATACTGTCTCTAATATCAGACTTTTCCTTCTTCAGGGAAGATGGTACACCCAGAGTCTCAGGAACAGCAGTCATCCCAGTGACTAAGAAGGCAGGCAAACTAAGAAGCAGTCTGATCTCCCATTGCTCTCTGTGGCATCATCCCAAATAATGTCAGTCGGATGCTGAGCAGGCAGCATACGATTGGACGTAAGTGATGCATATACCTTCTGTTGACATTTTCTTTGGCAGGGATTTAACGCTAGCTTTCTAATAATGCCATTCTCCACAGGCTTCATTCAAATGTATGAAGAGAAGGATGGCAAAAAAGACACAAAATATGAGTCAAGTAGGAGAAATATTTCTTTGCTATGCAAGCATGCACAAGCAACCTTCACTGACAGCATCAGGACAGTGCAGCATAACCTGTTTCAAGACCAGAAAAGGAGATACACAAAACATTTGCAGGTATCAGTGCGTTCTGCTCTCCTGAGATAAGAATTTTTGTCAGGTTGCAAATGGGGCATGGTGCACAAGCCAGGGGATGTAGAAGCCATATGATCATGTATTAAGTAAATAACTGCATTACTTTGCTAGTGTAATAGTTCACAGGTGGTAGAAGTCCTGCTATTTACCTCAATTTCTCTGAAATAGTAAAATCCTGTAATTTGGCAGCATGCTGCTTTCTGTCAGAACCAACTCTGCTTCACCCATGTCCAGCTGCAAAGAATCAGCCAGTGGTCTCATTAAAGCTCAACTCTGCAAAATAAATGAAACTTTTGCCCTTTATTTTGATGTTAATAATGAAGGAAAAAGTGCTCAGTGGTTATGATGCTAATAGTCCTTCAGCTGTAGAAACTCTTTCCATCCAATACCTCCTATTCCAGCCAAGTTTTCAAGTTACGGCACCATTATGCATTCCGTCTCTTACCCTTTTTCTCCCTTTCCCATAGGGGAGAGCAGTGGATTTTCATTCTTAGCCTATTGCACACCTATCCCTTAGAAATAAAATCCCTTCTTGCTGCTTTATTTGCAAGATCTGTCTTAAAAAGCAAACCACCGTTCCTCCCAAATCCCAGAGTTGCTCTTGGTGTTTTCTCCCCATAAATGAAAGCAACCACCTTCATTTGTCTTTTCCAAACATTGTTTCTTGTATGAATTTTTGCTAGTTTGTTGGTTGATGAGATCTGGGAACATGTTTTTGTTTGATGCTCTACTTGCTCCTTTTCTTCATTGCCTTGTCCCTTGGTGTCACATGGAAAGAAAACTTTGCCTAGGGATGCAATGCATTGATGTTTCTTGGGGCAGTCAATAGGCAGTGATGCCTCCAGGTTACTGTTGCAGCAGTGGATTAGCACCTCCAGGAACAGCTTTGCTGTCCCTGTTGTTTCCTCCCATATGAGGTTTGTTTAGGGGGAGACACTCTTGGAATATTTATCTAACTTAAAAACCACTTTAGAATAATTCCTCTCTCATACATGTCATTAGCTGTGTATAGATTTCTTCCCCTTTAGCTCCCTCAAGTTGGACAGAGCCTCAGCTCACCCTGTCCTGAGCTTGCATGAAAAAGGTTCCAGATCCTGGCCCAAACTGTTGTGGAGCTACAGCCTCATGGGGATCTTATTCAAAGACCTGGGGCTGTGAAAAGGGTACAAAAACCCTGAGTCCAAGGCTTTGGACATTTACTCAAGGAAATTCTTCCTCTGTTACTTACTATTTCAGATAGAGCTCAGAAATAATTGCTATTCTAGTCCTCCTGACCTCTGATCAAGAGCATAAAAGGAAACTATGACTTGTTTACAGCCAGACCTCCTCGAAATGAACAACTTGGTGTTTTACTTACCAAGAGGAGGGAGATGTAAACATCGAAGGTTAATTACCCTCTTGCCAAGAACACTTTGTGGTCTTTAGACATGTCTGTCAATCTTAGGAAACAGAACTGAGGGGAGCGAGCACTGAAGGCATGTTCCTATGATAAATTAATGAGGCTTGGCAGCTCACTGTGAAGAGGTGATTCCTGTGCTCGATAGGAGACTATAACCTGTCTCCCCAGCCAGCCTTACCACAGCATTCGTACTGCAGTTGCATCTGGGATGCTTATCCCTCTGTAAACAAGCTCTTGATTGCAGCTGTCCAGGAATCAAGTGATCTTCCCTGAAGCCTTCATATTCCTCCTTGCTGCTCAGTGCATGCAGCAACTGCTCATCCCAACCATACTGAATTAGTTTTTCCAGCCCTGATAGTTAGTCAATTAAAATACCTTCTGCCTATAAGCTTCTCATGGCAATGACACTGTTTGGTGGCTTGTATAGCTGTCTGGAATCCAAAAGACACAGCCACGATCCCCCTGTCGCGTGCTATTCTGATGATGTGCGTGTTGCTAGATGTCTGGTAGCTTGAAAATGCCTCATCTGCTGTCCTTTAGGGACGTGTTCAACTATTCCCCTGGTTTATATAACCTCAAAGTAATTTGCTTTCATGGCAGAAATGCTTATTCATTCTATTTTAACTGTGCATTGAGTTATAAATAATGTCTCCTTGCAGATAAGAATTTATTGACCTTTTATTTTTTTTCCTGCCTTTGGAAGATTTTCTCCTGACCCCAGCTACTGAAGGAGGCCTTCCCAGCCTTAGCAATGAAGTTGCCAGATTAACTTTCTCCTGCCAGGCAGCCATGAATGGTGTCAATCCCAGGTTGACTGTAACTTCCCACAGCCACCTCCTCATTGCTTCTGCTTGGGCTGTGGCAAAGATGAAACGAGCACTCACTGAGGCACAGCTGAGATCACTGAAGTGTCAGGAAAACTGAATAAACCAATGATTTCCTCTTCTTCTGACCAGCTGCAGAATAACGTCTCCTGCATTACCTCCAAAACACCTTCTCTGCAGTATGTTCACTTCAAAGAGCCGTAGGCTGGGCCACTGTCCGGCCAAATGTTTTGCTCCTTAGTGCCTCCTTTTTCTGCTGCTTATTCTAGCGTTTTCCTGCTTTCATGTGAGTAACTCTTGCCCTGTGCAACTGAGACCTGACCTGACATCCTTATCATCCAGAAACCACCCAGGGCTGAAGCACAGCATGAGCTGGTGTGGCGAGAATTGAAGGTATGTGCTCAGAGCTGATGCTACAGCACAGCAGTGAAGTAGCTGCTATTTTGGCAGCTGATCTTCTGTGGTGCAGGTAACTCTCTGTAGGTTCAAATGCTGATGCCCTTCTGAGGAAGCATTGTGATGGCAGGGGGCCCGGGCTGTTGCAGAAATGAAGAGACTTTAAATCATTGCAAGCTAATAACATTCTCATATTTGAATAGTGTGTTTGTGTTTTAATGATAATTACAATCTACTCTTTTCGTTGTACATGTTACTGGTCATCCCTATAAAAGTGTCTGGGAGCTCTTATCTGTGACCCTTTAGGCGGCAGGAAAACTTTGAAGCTGCTCTCCTGGATCGTGGAGAAATATTATGATCATTAATAAAATCTGTCCGTAGGAGAGAGCATTATATGAGTACCATTTACCTAAAATAACTCAAGTTGGAAGAGCTCTCTAGAGGTCTAAAACAAGGCCAAAGTCCAAGTCAGCCCAGGGTCCTCAAGATTTTCCTTATTCAGCTGGGTTTTCAGTATCACCTAGGAAGGACATGCATGGCCTTCTCTGATTCCTGTGCCACCGCTTGATCAACCTCATGGCAAAGAATAACTCCTCACATTTGTCTGAATGTAATCCTTTTGCTGTGCAGCTCTGAGAAGATTGGCTCTGTCTTCTCTAGAACCCCATCAGACCTCAGCGGTGATCCCCCACAGCCGTCTCTTCTCCAGCTCCTTCAGCTTACCCAAATGCCCTGTGCTATGGTCCCTGACCAGCCTGGTGGCCCCGGCTGGACTTGTTCCTATGTGTCAACATCTGTCCTTGCAGTGGGGCCAAGTACATTTAATTCATTGCATAAGTAATGTGACACCATGTTAGCCTTCACCTACAGGGTACAAAGTTCCACGCATGGTCTTATTAGCTCAGAAAAATATTCACCGGCATTACCTGAATCAAGCTCTATTTAATAAGCGCATCAACACCTGGATATGTTTCCATATTGATATGTTTTAATCCTATCAGTGACTTTGCTTTATTTATTAGTTCAAACAACACCTTTGGGCAGTAGGTGAGAGGCAGATCTTCCATTTGTTCTGTATTGGTTTCTCTGGGCACGTGGTTCAGTGCGAGCAGTTATTGACCATACTGTGGCCAAGAGAAAGACAAAGATGGAAACTGCAATCTGTATTGTATTTAGCAGGCATTTTGGAGTGATTAGAGGCAATTTCATGAAACAGCTACAACTAATTATTATTATTTCCCACTTTTACAACAGCAATTTGTTAATTAAATAACGTGACAAAACCCAGGAATGTTTGGAAAAGTGTATTGAGTAATTTGTCATTCATTTATCAGGGTATTACTGTTTACTATTACTGAGAAGTCACATATCGCCTAAGAAAATTTCCCACATTGGTTTTTATTCTTCCAGAGAATATGAAATCGATACTGGCAAAAACTTCAATGGAAAATGTAGACCAAGGAAGTCTTTGTGTAAGTGAGAGAGGATGTTGTATAATGGCCAAATCCTGCCCTGGTGTCTGCCAGCAGACCCCCTGGTGCCCTGAAGCACTAGCACATGGTACCCTGAGATGTGGTACTGCCTTTGCTTGCTAGCAGACCTCTGCCCTTGTGCCCTGAAGCACTAACACATGGTACCCTGAGATGTGGTACTGCCTTTGCTTGCTAGCAGACCTCTGCCCTTGTGCTGGCTTCTGCATGGATGAGGATTTTCCATTAGCAAAATGGTCATCAGCCATACAGTACGTCTGAATTTGAGGATTAGAAGACTGTAATGAAGTAGATTACAGCGTGAGATCAGTGGCAGGATTGCAGACCAATCCTCTTTTTAACTGTTCTTCCAAGAGTAGCTACGAGCTGAGCAACCTGTCCCACAGCATGAGCTGAGCCAGCTGTGGGATTTTTCCGTGCCCTTACCAGAGGCAGGATAATCTAGAGCTATGGATGTTGGCTGGCTGAGTCTGAAACCTGGTGATTTCTGGGTGTTGTTTTTGTGGCTTGCCTGAGGGGGCACCTGAGCAGCTCAGGGGAGACTCGTGACTTAACTGTCACATACCTGAGTCTCCCTAGAACATCTGCAGGTGAGATAGTGAAGGAATGGATCTGCTGAACATCAGACAAGTGTTGTGGTGATTGAGATGAATCTGGGTTGCCTGGGGCAAGTGCCAGACCCAGTGCTGAGCCTGGCATTTGCAGTGGAAAATCTTATTCTGGTGTATACAGGCCACACTCACCAGCCTTTTTCAGGAAGGCGCTCTCCACCCACCCGAGGAGAGGCCCATCTTGCCTAGAGAACTGCACCATCTGAGGCAGGGAGCAGCAGCACTGTGGGCACCGGGCAGGAGACAACCTGTCCAAAGCTGTCAGGTCAGGGCTGGTGAGGATGATTTAGAGTGGACTTGCTGCCTGGCTGGAGAAGGTAGTACCAAAGTTCATGTTTGACCCAGAAAGATGTACCTTCCTCCAACTGTGCAGAGACTGTATGTCTCTTCATCAGAGAACCGATAAAGGCAACAGGCATGGCATGTGACAGCAGCCTCAGCATGATTCTGTGCACGCTTAGAGAAAGTACTTGGCTTCCAGGGACACCATCCACAAGGCACGTTAGGGCAATATATCTTGAAGGTGTGCTCAATCCTTCTAAAATATTCATGCATCTCTCTGTAATTTATAGAAATAAATCCAGCAGCATAATTATTTTAATGCTTCTCCCTGTGAAGAAACCCATCTCTTCCAGGTAAAAATGTACCTATATATCCATACAGCCATGCTGCTGCCTTCATAGCTCACCATTGCCCAGAATAGATGACTCCATGCATACAATGCATGAATACAATACATGCAATATATACTTTAAAGGGTCAAAGCATATCCTGTAGACCACTGCGACATATCAGACACCAATAAAATTTCTTGGGCTAATTTTCAATGATTTCAACTGAATTTCATTTGATTAATGGGTGGTGCCTTGTTTGTTCAAGGGAGCATCGGTAAAAGATCTTTTGCTCTGCAGCTCCAATAATGCTGAAGTCTATCCTAAGCACAGTGCTCAGCTCCCATGGCAGAAAACCCTGGGTATTCTTGCCATTTCAGACCTGTGAAAGGGATCACGGTGAGAAACTGAGGTTAAAGGGAGAACCCACTTCTGCAAAATTACTCCTACTAAAGCTGCAGAGGCTCAGACCTCCTCTTAGGAAGGAGACACTTGGAGATCGCATGAATGCTGGAGGTGTGAGACGGACAGGAAAATTGGGACAGGATCTATGTTTTAAGTATAATGTTCTAAAATATCTGTAGGGGGAAAGGACTTGCTGTACTTGCAAACATAGCTGGTGCTATGTAAATAGGCTCCCAAACCTTCACTGTGTTTTGTTCTCAAGATGACTTGGCGGAACACTTTGAATTGGTTGGTGTGTTTCACTGTGGCTAGGTCTGTAAATAACTGCTCCCTCATGATAAGGTCCAAGTGACATTTTTGGTGTCATTTGACAGAATATAACCTGCTTTCAAGTCTGCTGAAGTGAAACTGTCAAGAAACCCTTTTACTTATCAAATCAATGCTAAATACCTTTAGCTGCACAGGTTAGACACAGTCCTGCTGGACTCACCTGGCAAAGCTTAACCAGTTCTGCTGACGGCAAAGCCACACCTGATGCATGTTCATACCTAGAGGGGGATATCTGGGAATGCAGGGAAAAAAACCCACCCAAAGCAAAAGAAAGCAAGCAGAGAGTCTTAGCCTGATCTGCATCAGGATAGTACTGCATGCTCTGCATGAGCTGCTCTCTGATGGGAGATGTTGTTCTGAAGAGACACATGAAGGACCTGCTGTTTACTCCCCTCGGTATTTTGTGCTTCTTCATTTCTACTTGAATCCTAAAGAGGTTTCTTTTGTCTAAAAGGCTGTTTGTTTGGTTTTGATCACTGAGGACATGTGATAATTGTCTCAAGCTATTAACCAGATGTCCAGCCAAAATCAATTGCGTAGCAGATGCTGACCGTTACCTGAAAGTCAAGACCTCAATAAATATTACCAGCCTCATTGTGCTGGTGACAGATTCTACAGGTTGTTTTATGTTACAGTTGAACAGTTTAGACATTGCATTTGTATATATTTGCAGTCAGCCTTTGAGAGGCCATCTCATGATCAGAGCAGGAGCAGGCAGCCTGCAGACTCAAGACATACTTCCAACATGACCACAGCGGGTGTTTTTGTGCTCCTCTCCTTTGTGCTTTGCTGTTTCCCAGGTAAGTAACTCTTATGGCGTCACAGAGGCTTCACATCTGAGTCCTGGCTGTCTCGAAAAAGGTAAGAGAGTGGCTTCAAGGAGAGAAAATCTTCTCCTACAAAGAGCTAGGATGCCCTGGTGCTTTGGCATCACGTAAGATGCGGGAGCAGATTTCAGGACAGGCTTAAATGGATCACTGTTGTAGCTGGTTGTCTGTCATAAATATAAATAACTGCAAATGGAGTTCTGTGCTGGTATCTAGTGCTTTTATGCTTTTTACACTGTTGCTTTAACACTGCTACACTGCTTACACTTGTTCTACAATTACAGAAAGTGGATAAATGCTTGAAACAAGGCTGTAACAAGGTAGTCAGACCTTCAGTAACTGATCACAAAAATGTTGCAATAGCACCAGCAAGTTCTTTTCAGGAGTCTGGCAACTTTTGTGCAATTCTTTTTCTGTTAATGGAGAAACAAGAGATGAAAACAAGCCAGGGTCTGATGTTGTCATTGCATATTTCCATCTGATGAAATGATAAAGTCAAAGACAATTTTTTATTTCACACTTAGCTTCTTTAAAATGCATAAGCTTGACAAGAGATGCTGTATGTATTTGCTTATCCTGTAGGTGACTATTTGCATTTACATTTGTATTGATTCAAGTTTCTTTTCAGATATCTAACAGTAGCTCTTTAGGGTCAAAATGGGTGTGTAGAAAGATAAGGAAGGAAAAGTTATTCTACTTTCAACTAATATGTCTACTTATCTTGAAATACAAAAGAACAAAGCTGTTCAAAAACGTGTTCCATCGCAGCCAGCAACAAGCAATGTTATTATACTTATCAACACAGAAAAGAAAAAAAATCATACATAGTTTATTTAGTTCAGGAAACCAATCACTGGAAATCAGTTTGGTCCTGCATATAGGAATTTTACATCCAGAATTCCAGCTTTAACTGAGGTCTTATCATATTGGCTTTGTTTCACACTTTCTGCCTCTCTCTTCTTTTCCAGATGCTGCCTTTGGGGTTGAGGTGAGTGGAAGATTTCTTTCTGTCACTTTTCTCAGGTATGCGGCTTGGTAAAGACATAACTGAAGGAACAGGAAAAACCTCAGGACTGCAGATGCTTATCTGTTTTTCAGTTAGCGTGAAATTAGTGTCATTGTAATCAGATTCCAAAGTATAAAACATTAAATTATACTGTCCTTGGCTCTACATCTATGCTGTATGTTAATAGTGTAGTAGCCGTAGTAACAATATAAAATTTTTATTAATTCATTTTTCACCAACTTTAAACTTGTTTAAGCTGTAAGTTGGGTCATATCTGACTGGCTTTAAAAGGACAGGAATAAGCTGTGGTATCAGAAACTACCTGAAAGCAGCCTGCTGGAAGAACAAAATACTACCAAGGTACTCCAGATTCCATGCACCATGTCATTAGCCTTGCTCCTCTGAATAAAAAACATAATGAGTGTTTTGATAATGAAAGAGTAATAACAGAAGTGCACTGGAGGTGCCACAAGAATATAAAAACGGGAGAGCAACAGATAGCCTTTATAAAAGAATTTCAGGTAAGCATGAGAGACCACCACTGATTTACCCTATCTGAGGAGCTGTATGGCTGTAGCCCTCTCCTCCTCCTCCTTTTCTGCTGTGTGGGGAGGTCTCTGCAGGAAGGATTTGCCTGTTACCACATTGACCCACCAGCACAAGTGTGTGCAGTGGCAGTGAAAAACCCACTGCAGGTTGTACCTGGTCACTGTCTCGTGCCAAATGAGAGTGGTGAATGTAAAATGTCTTCTCCACCCTGTTGCTGTACATTCCTTTGGCAGGTGGACTGCAGTACATACCCCAACACTACAAATGAGGAAGGCAAAGAGGTGTTGGTCTGTGCCAAGATCCTCAGCCCCATCTGCGGTACCGATGGAGTCACCTACAGCAATGAGTGCCTGCTCTGTGCCCACAACATGTATGTACTTCATAGGCAGCAATTCTTAGGATTTCTGGAAGCACCACTTTTTGACAAATAGTGATCTGACATATGTCAGTAATGTCAATTCCTTCAAAATGAGCTTGGATATCACTGCATGGCACTCCATCGCCTAGATATTGCCTTAGCCACTGTGTCTCTCTCTTGCTGGTGTAATTCATCCTTATTTTTCTTCTCCAGCTCAAGGATCAGCCAGATGATAACCCCTAGGGCATCATCTCATCACAGCAAAGCAGAGCAAAAGGATGGAGAGATGCCCTGCTCTGATCTGCCCCAAATGGTCCCAAAGCCCCTTCTCAAAAAATAGCTATATATAAGCCTGACTGATAGTCAGCTTTCCCTTGTATTGGTTACATATTTCCAGAACCTAGGATGTAGGAAGGCTTCTTTTTGAACTTCCTAATATTTGTCTTTCACTTTCCAGAGAAAACGGAACCAATGTTGGCAAAGATCACGATGGAAAATGCAAGGAAGCTGTCCCTGTAAGTGAAACCAAGGGGAAACTAAGAGGCATGTCCTGCTTCTCAGTGGCCAGAGCTGCTTGACTCCCCCAAGAAAGAATTCAAACACTAAATAAGAGGACATATGAGATGTCAAAATCTTGCATTGGTCATCTTCAAGTGAATTGCCATCATAGTGACACAGAGAAAACAATTTTTCCTGCCGTGGTAGTATCCTAGGCGGCCAGACACACTCGCCAGATCTACTTGCTTCTTATAAGTAAGCCTTCACCAGTGCTTTGTTGTGTGTTCCTTCAGCAGGTGGACTGCAGTGGGTATCCCAACACAACAGATGAAGAAGGTAAAGTGGTGTTGCTCTGCAACAAAGATGTCAGCCCCGTCTGTGGTACTGATGGGGTCACCTATGACAACGAGTGCCTGCTGTGTGCCCATAATCTGTGAGTACTGCATATGCAGAGCTATCCTATGAGGGACAGCAAGTGCTTAGCGCTCCTGGCAACTTCTTTTCTGAATATCAGGACTTCCACCAAGGTCTTTTTTCTAAGGTGCTTGGACTTTGACCCTCCTCTTTCCCTGGTAACCAGACCTTGTTTTCCTTTGTGAATAGAAAGAAAACTGCCTTTGATCTAGAGAGAGAAGTAGAGGGCTGGGTGGAGATCTAACACAGGACAGAACGCTTCTCTTTACGAAGTTAAAAGGGTCTATGTGGCAGATGCTGCCTTGCAACTGACCTAAGGTGCATCAACATTGTCACACAACCTACCCTGTCGTTCACCCTAACACCCTGGATGCTCCCTTTTCCTTCACATCATGCTATAAACCAGCACTGGCAGGCTGTGACACCATCTGCACTGCAATCTAGAGCCATGTGGACACAACCTAAGTCGCATGTCTCCTGTATTCTGTCTGTTATACCTGAGGCTGATTAGCAATCCTGGGACATGCTTTGGAGCAGAGCAGGTTTCTCACAGAACTCCCTAATGTGGGTCTCTTCCTTTCCCAGAGAGGCTGGAACCAGTGTTGACAAGAAGTATGACGGTGAATGTAAGAAGGAAGACACTACAGTAAGTGAACTCTGTGATGAGGGACCATGTTTCAGTCCTGCTGATGTCAGGTTAAGTACTGTCAGTGTCTGCAGCAGCCCCGAGACCAGTAGCATCCCACAGAAGTGTAGCTGCTGCTGTGCTTCAGCACAGGGAAGATTTTCTTCTTCCACACATAATACATCCACACTAATTACAGGAAAGGAAGAGGGTAACTGCACAGAAAAGGATGAGTGAAAGAGTAGTAGCAGAAATAATTCATCAGGGCAGAAGTGAGAAGAACAGATAATGCCTTTTGGGGTCAGACCAATAGTCCAGCATGCCCCGATGGCTTGATGCAGAGCCCACTCTTAGCAGGGGTTGTAAGGACTGTGTAGGAGAGAGTAAGGGTAGAGTGGGTATGTATGATGTATGGGACTTCTCCTCTTTCAACCTCCAGCTATTTTTTGGGTGATGGACCTCAGCTAGCTGCAGTTTCTGTGTAGCCAATAAGCATTGATATATTTCTTCTCCATTAATTTCCTCAGCCTCTTCCAGGACCCATATGCATTTCTGCATTACAATACTCAGCAACTGTAGCACTCATAGCATAAGAAACAAAATCCCTCTCTCACCGTGCTTCTGTTGATCTTCCCGTTTTAAGAATATAGGAGTGATACTGGACCCTTACACAGGCATCAGTGCATCAGCACTTACAGTTCTCCAGACAGCAGGGTTTTTCCATTTAATTTCCTGGCCTGGTTGGGAACACAGTACAATGTGATTATGAGCATGGCACATTCACAGAGTGAATTGCTGCTGCTTGGAAATGCTATGGCCAGGGTATCGTACACATCTCTTCAAACAGGAAATTATGATCTATTTTTGTATTATAAAATTCTCTGGCATAGGAGGAACCGACACGTCCGCTTATATCAGATTGTGCAAGGAAGTTAATTACTTTCAGTTAGATTCTTATCATTAGCACTGCAGCTGTAGTGAGGGGTTCAAGCCCTTCTGCTGGTGACTCCTTCATAATCCTTCATATTAGACTTTTTCTTTTCCAGGTTGACTGCAGTGACTACCCTAAACCCGCCTGCACACTTGAGTACTTGCCTCTCTGTGGCTCTGACAGCAAAACATACAGCAACAGCTGTAGCTTCTGCAACGCAGTCGTGTATGTACAAACATGTATCCCATTCCTGTTACCAGTTGCCTTCTATAAGCGCAAGTTCGCACAGTTTTGCCACTTTCTTGTTTGCTGACCAGTGTTGAGTAGGAATATGGGGCAGGAGAGAACACCAGCCATCATGCCAACCATTCATTTTTGTTTCCATTGGAGCATACAAAGAGCTGTGTCCGGTTTGTCAGTGTGAATTGTTTGAACACCATTAATCTTCATGGAATTTTTCTTGCATGTTGCAAAGAAATGAAATTCAGAGTTTCATCACAGTTTCCCAAAAAATATTTTCAGTCTTAAGAACGGGTTAAATCATCTCACTCATTTCTTAGTTAATGGGACTATGAGTCTGCAAGTTCTTTGTCTTTGGGGCAGGATCCTATCTGCCTTCTCTAGGAGCCAAGGAAACGGACAGATTATAGCAGACAGGACTCTGTCTAATCCATTTTTTCCTCTCCTCTCTTCCAGGGACAGCAATGGGACTCTCACTTTAAGCCATTTTGGAAAATGCTGAGTATCAGTGCTGAGAGAATTCACCACAGGATGCCCACTGGCAAATCCCAACTAAAAATCTCACCTCAGTTCATCTTGCCCTCTGGGGAACTCAGCTCACTCCTGATTTTCTTTCTCAATAAACTAAATCAGCAACATTTCTTTGTCTTGTTTCATGTGTTTCATGAAACATTTTCTTCTGGTTTGTTGAATGATGATGCCAGGCTGAATAGGTTATGTGCTGATAGCTCTGGGATATAACAAAAACTGCATTTTGCTCCCTTCCCTCTCATAAAAAGCACAAAATTAAATACAGATGCACAAACCTCGGAGCTGTGTGACTTTTCACATCAATGATAGTCAGCCTACATTAGTGTTCAGGCCCTTTCAGACGTTCGACATTGTAAAGAGCTGAAATGCTGCTCTCAAGTGATGACACCAGCTGATCTCCCCTAAGGCATTGCTGGTGCACTTTCCCTGCGCAAAACCCACTCAGGCTGTGGTGGGGTCTGCACCAGGAGCTGAACACAGCCCTCACCTGAAGTGTAGCACCCTGCAAGGGCAGTCTGTTAGCAAAGCCTGTATTTTTCAGACACTGCCTATGTCTGTGGGTCCTACAAGTGACTTATTTCCTTTAACAACCTTCAAGTGCTTTAAGGACGGTTCCTACTCCTGCCTACTTGTCTCCTCTCCTAGTCTTTAATAACATCATACTCTTTGCCAGCCCAAGGAGTATCTCAGCAATGTTTCACAATCCAAGGACAAAATATCCTGTTTTGTGAGAGTGTGACCTGTCACTGGCGTATTGTTCATGACATTTATTTTGCTTTTGTCCACTGTTCGGGTATTGAATTGGTGGGGGTTTGATCCACACAAGAGAAACGTAAATAAATTGGGCATATTCCGTCTAAAAAGTAGTGTCTCCCACATGCATTTCTTCTGGGAGCCGAAGGGAGGAGGATGCTTGTTTTCCTTGATGGAATGAGGTCATCCAAAAAAGCGATGCTTTGGTGGTAAAACGAAGGATTTATATTGAGATGGGCAGGTGGATGAAGCAGCCACTTCCAGATTGGGTTCAAGTTTTCCAGGATCCAGGCTAGGGTCTCACACCATTCTGCCATCATTGGTCTATCAGTACATTAGGGTAAATCTAACCCACAATTCTCATGGTTTTTAGGGGAAATAACAATTGTAAATTCTTTGCATATGCCTATAAAAGTTGCTTCATCTCTTGTTCAGTCCAAGGACTCCCTTCATTGTTGGGAAACCCTCTTGCTTGCCCTCCCAGTTCATTGCTTTCCTAGTTTCACTATAGCTTCATGATGCTTTACTGGGATGAAGCATGAAAATACAAGTAGAGACTTTCCACTCTGGAAGCTGTTCATTCAATGTTTTGCTCCTGAAAAAGCACCACACATGAATAGGCGCTGATAGGTGCACACAGAGGAAATCTGACAGCAGCTGCTGCTGCGGTTTGTACAGTTGCTTTTTTGCCTGCAGGAGTTTTCTATGGTCCTTCAGAAGGAACTTGTCCTGTATTTCACTTAAAATAACAACACAGAGGGTGTATCAAACATATCTAAACTTCTTGTGACTCCTGTTGATGAAGAAGCATTCTTCCTGGCTTACAGCAGAGCTTAACCTCTGTCGAGACTGCCACCCTGACAAACAACCAGGAATGTTACTTCAGAATAAGGGTGGAAGAGCCAAATCCGAATGCGCAGAGACTCATGTGCATACATGAGCACATATAGCATGGTTACCACCTGAGGGCAGAATTAAGGTGATGTTTACTGAGCAAAACACAGGCTCCGCTGCACGCAGACACTTCAGCCACCATGAAGACAGCAGGCGTGTTGCTGCTGTTTGCTCTAGCCCTTTGCTGCATCCCAGGTGAGTAGCTTTACTGCCTCCTGCTCTGCTTTTGAGTAAGTGCTGGCTGTCTTTAAAACCACAAAAACATCCTCAGACTGGAAAGAGCTTCATTCTACAAGGACTTATTTACTCCTAGAAAGATAGTGTTGAAAAGACTTGACATCAAAGACTATCACTTATGGGGTAATATTTTAGCAACAGAACTGAGTGGGTAAGAACAACTGTGGGAACAGCTCTACTCTCAGCGCTAGTTTATGCATAATGAAAGAAGTGACATGTACGTGGTATAACCCAGAGACTCAGACATCCAGTATTTAACCTCTGAAATGTTGCAGAAACACAAATTATTTTACTGAATGAGAGAGAACATTTCTTGTAGTCATCCTGAGCTGAGATGCAAACCAAGAGCCTGAACAGTTGTAGAAGCTTCATAAAAGTTACATCGCACTAAATACTCCTTGTACTTAAGAACTACTGTGGCAATGCATATAAGATGCTACCTCCAAGTACTTGCCATCTTTATGACCCTGTTAGCCTCAATAACTTTCTGAGCTTTGAGTGCATGTCCTGCTCCATCCTTTGAACCATGAAAAATGTTTTTCTCTTCTTCCATCTTGTACACCCTTTTCCATTTTGGCTATAACTCTCATTAAAAAACATTATTCTACAGAATCAATGTTGCAAACCTATAATAAACCACTGCATTTTGTCTGACATTCTTTTTGCTAAGAAGTAATTTGCTAACAGTGAGTTGAAAGTAGCATATTCAGGGCACACATTCACAGATTTTAACTCTAACAGAACCCATGAATTGCATTTGTATCATATTTCCTTCTTTTTTTTTTTTTTTTTTACAGATTTTGGTGCACTGCAGGTAAGGAATGGATCTTCCTATTTTCCATCATTTCTTTACTTAAAGCAGTTTCTGTTTAAATCCTCACTAATCACACTGTGATAAGCATTTGAAAATCCTGAGCCATTCAGCTGTCTGAGCAATATTTGCCACAGGTATTATTGGGTGAAACTGCTATTTTCACCTGATGGTAGTTTTAACAAGTAGTGCAGTATTCAGTTCATGTCTGAGTTATTGTCTAAGTTACTGCAGCAGCATTTACGATGGTTACACAGGCTCCACATTGCTGGAGGCAATGCACCACTGTACTCCTGCCCTGTTCCTGGGCTTTTTCTCAGCATCTACTTCTGGCCAGTACTGGAGGGAGCTGGGGGTGCGTGTGGGATCTCCTAATGTCACCTTTCTTCCATATCTGTTGTTGAGAACTTTTTTCGTAAACATAGATTGCACCTATCTACAGGGCTACTGCAGAAACTACGTGGTACCCAGCAATGTCTGCACTATGGAATATGTCCCACACTGTGGGTCTGATGGTGTAACATATGGCAATAAATGCTTATTCTGCAATGCATTCCTGTAAGTATGAATATAAGTCTCTTCACTAACTAAATAACAAATTAGCTTAAACTTAACTAATCAGTCTTGGAGACTGGTTGGAGAGCTGAAGTTCTCTTACTTCATGTTTATCTGTTCTCTTAAAAGCAAGGGTAAGTTTTTATTGGGAGAATTTGCCAGAATTTAGTATAGTTCTGCATTTCCCTCTTAGGTAATTTGCTGAAGAACTTTCTTTCAGCAAACAAAGTCTATTTCATGCAGACTATTTGTTCTTCCTTTAAATTAAGTCTTCATCTTGTCTTTGAATGTTAGTAATAAAAGGAAATAGCTGGAATGGCATTCAGAAGTTTTCTATTTTGTTTAAGCCTCTGTATGATATATCTTTCACCAGAGGGAGAGGCAAACAGTAAAAGCCCAGATGTTCTGTCTCTGAGGTACTGATTTCTTTCTCCGCAGGAGAAGCCGTCGGACTCTTCGCTTGAGATCTCTTCGAAAGTGTTAATTTCTCGACAGGCTTCAGCTCATAAAGAGGAATCCTCCCTGGCGCCATTCCCCATGGCAGATGCTCCCCTAAAGCCTTGCCCTGAACCTTGAAAGCTCCTGTTGAATCCTAAAAACCTCTGCTTAATAAAAAAGCCATCAGCATTTATGTTTTGCTTTAATAATATGTCTCATTCTGTTTTTACCTAAGATGTTGCATGATTACATCACTGCAACAATCCTGGGGTGCGGATATTAACAGGCAAATTACAGGGAAGAGGTTTCTGTAAAGAAATAGACAAAACCACAAAGGCAGTGGGTAGATCTTGAGGGCATCTGCCGTCATCCAGCTTTCCAAAAGAAAACCGGGGCTGAAGATGATTCCTAGTGCAATAGTCCAAATGATTTATTCCACTAAGGGCATCTCAGACAGACACTCTCTGGGTTAGGAGAACTGGCTGCTTCCCTAACCACTGCTGTCAAATACCTGCTGCCTCTCCCTTGCATTACTGTGTGGCAGACTTGGGGAGCATGAAGACACCCTAAGCAAGCCTGAACACACACGTAGTTAGAGGCAGTCTCAAGATTGTTACGGTTGGGGGTGTTTTGTGGCTGCTTTGCAAAAGCTATGCAGGCACAGAAGATCTTGCTGTCACCAAGAGCTGCTCAAGCCTGTTTCAGTTTCAGGTGTTACCCCTAATTTCTTAAGTGAAGAAGGGCAGTTTCCCAGCTGCATCTGTTCCTCTTGCAAGCAGGATTGGAAAACCACCTTTTGGTGAGAGAAGCTCTTTTGCAATCCGCTCAGCTTCCCAAAGCAATGGGACAAGATGTTTTCTCTGGGCAGGCAGATACCTGGCTGCCCACGTTCGTGTTTGCAGTGTTCATCACTGTGGGGGATTGCAGAAAACTAGTGGGCAGTCAGTCCTAACAGACCTGATGTTCAGAGGACTGCTAGCAATTGCTATTGCAGCCCATTTTTGCACCTCACCCACCACTTAGCTGCTGCTTGTAGGTAATTACGTCGACTGTCCTTGTTTGTAGAGGATCCTTTGAGATCCTCCGGCCTCCAGAAACCTTGGCTGACGAAAGGAAAGGCTCAGAGTCGTAGCGTTAATTTATTATTCATTAACAGCAAAGCGCTGCCAGTGAGGGATGCTGTACAGCAGCAGTCTCCCAGTCAAATAGTTAATGATCTTAAGTGACAACGTGTCACTTCCCAGAGACTGGAGAGAGCAGCTATCTGAAGGGAGGCAATTTATTTCCAAAAGACATGACTCTCTACAACCATTTAGTGCCAAGTCCCTTCCCAGGGCTGGAAAGTGCCTCCTGTGAGAGGGAGGTCTGTGTATGGGAAGGCATTTCATTGTTGGATGCCATTTCTTAGGACCAAGACAAATCGAGGCTCTGGGAGGGTGTGCAGCTCGGGGGCGTCATGCACCTTCTTGCCCCACTCATCTGGGTGAAGGAGTCGGGTGTAAGAGAACTCCAGCACCTATCTTCTTTTCGGGAGAGCAGCAGAAAGGATGAGGATGGCTCCAGGAGCCATGATGCCTTGGAGACAAGCAGATCTGATCACACTCAAGATCCCAGTGCTCCTCAGAGGGCATCTTCCGGGGGTCCACTCCCATGTCCACTAAATGGGAAAGTCCACCAGGCAATTGAAGGGAAACTGCGAGTAGAAATGTATGGGAACAAAGCCTCCACCCAGATGCAGAGTTATGCAGTATCCTACCCCAGAGTAACCGAAGGCAGAGCAGGACCCCAGCCGCATGCCCAGCTCCCTGCCCCGGGGGGCAGCTATTTAGGGTGGAGAGGAAGGCAGTCCTCTTTTATGGCCACCTCTTTGGAAATAATTTTTTTGTTGCTGCTCAATAAAATCTTGCCACAACAACACAAAATCCTCTCACCATTACTAATCTAACTCTCCCTCCAGGAAATGCAAGGCAGGAAACATTGTCTGCCTGCCGAGGTATTTTATGGTACAATTCTTTAAGCAGTGCCTCGGCACTTTATGTCATTATCTGATGTTTGTGAATTTAGGAAGTGCCATTCAATTACCCCACAATCTGATTAACACATTGCATGTAGTTATTTTGTTCTGCTCTATTTTATATCAATGCTTCTGTTTTAGTGTATTGTTCTACTTGTTGCTGGCCAAAATATACCTCAGGCCAGTCTAGACCTTTCTGTTAATGCAGTTTCTTTCTGAGGCTTCAGTCAAGATAATCGGTTTGTTACTACGTTCTTTCTCGATGCAGAGAAAAATAAAATGATGTTTTAAAAGAAAATTACTTGGAGACATCGTTTCTGGGGGCTGTCTATGTCAGAGCTATTGCAGTGAGGCAGAGCTGAGATTTACTGAGCGTTTGGGATGCGCAGGGCCAGATCCTCAGCCTTCTGCTGTTAGTACGTGGCTCCCAGATAGTCAAATTATTCCAGACACCCTTGCCTGTGATATCATCTCTGCTTAAGAGACTGGTGATATGCAGACAGCAATCAGATAGCTGAACTACAACGAGAAATATTAGATGAGTGCGGCTTAGAGCTGGGGCTTTGCTTGCTGTAAATTGAATTCATGTTGTCATAGAAGATCCAGTTCTGCCCCCCTGTGCAGAGGTCTGGGAACAGCAACCTGTTTTGGAGCTCTTGCAGTGTGCCACATTGCTAGTCAACAGCAAAGAAATGCATTTTACATTTGTCCCTACAGTAGCATAGAGTGGAGCATAAAACCACTTTATTCTTGATTACAGTGTGGTGTGTAACAGCAGGATACAGGAACAAGGACAATGGTAATTCTGGAATAACAACATGTAGTCTTGCATGCACACATTCACCTTTTTTATTAACCCCCCCCCCCCCCCCCAAAAGCATAATTTCTCTTTGTAGCCACATGAAGCCTGTGATAAGTTTTTAACTAAACCAAGGATAAATGAAGAATTTTTTAGGTCTTGGTAGATTACAGACTCACTTGAGATAGGGACTCTCAAAGCCAGAGGAAAAGATTCACAGGAAAATATTACTGCTATGGGAAGAAACAATGCTGGATTAGAAACTGGGTAGATTTTCCAGACTTATTGAAAAATTATCTTAATACTAAACGATCCATCACATGACTACCAATGTTTATCGCATCCACGTGGCCATAACCTCCCTGAATGTTTGCCCTCTAAGAACTTGAAATAGCAGGAAGACTTTTATTTAAACTTCTATGTGGAGCACATATCTGTAGAAATGATAAAATATTCCTATGCCCAAAGTCACTTTACTGAGCCCACCATAAAGATACTCTTGAATACCACAGAGGGTGTTTGCCAGGTGCGTTCACTCTGCCCTTCCCATTTGCAACATGTGTCTGACATTTCCCGAAGCTCACCCTTCCAAATGCATGAAGACAAGTTGTTTTTGATTGCTCCTAATGCCTGTTTTCAACCCACCTGCTTCCACACAATTACTGTTGTCCCATTCCCTCTATTTCTTATTAACGGAGCTCCTTGTGCAATCCTACATCACATCTAGCACAACAGCTCTCACTGCTCTGCCTGCTGCCAGTTATCTCCTGGTCTTTCTCATGGACCCTATAGCAGGACTCTTTCCTCGTTTCTCTTTTTCTCCCTGCTGCCCTATGGAGTAGCAGGGATTACTGGAAGAAAAGAGCTGCTTTTGGAGCAGTCCTGGCTGGCTACCCAGGCCCTCAGAAACAGCACATGGATCAGAGGGAGATCTCCCCAGTGGACCTATCAAAGGGTAGGTGTTGGTCAGACATGGGAACAAAGCTGCTTGCTAACAGATACCTTGCCATTCACAACTCCTGAGTGACCAGGATGATTTCAGCCAGGCAGGAGAGGCAAACTGAAGAAGCAGCACAATTTTTGGTAACTGGGGATTTCAGATGTGGAGGTGGATAGGGAGAGCCTTGGGTTGCAGGGCTCAAGAGGGGACAAACTATGTTCCTGTAGCCTCGCTAACCACTGCAGAGCTGGCAAATGCCATCTCTATCAGTGGCTGGTGCAAGTTCTGAGGAAGCCTTGTTTTCAGGCTTTGTCATTCTTGTCACCTGGAGAATAATTAATATTAATCCTTCTGTGATTATTGCTTCCCTTCCAAATAAGCTCACAATCAGTTCAAGGAATCTGAAAGTCAAGTTACTCAGGATGTTAAGAATACAACAGGAACCACTTTCAAAGGAACCCTTCAACTTGTGGTATTTGTGAATGAGATCCAAATAGCATTATTCATTTATTTTTCAGGAAAATGATTTCATTGATATAAACAGGCCAAATCCCGCAAGCTCCATTCCGTGACTACAGTTCCCTTACACTTTCAGTTACATTTTTATGATTTATCTGCCCACCAAGTCTTGAACATCTCCCAGGATAATAAGAAAAACAATTCTATTTTCTATTTAAAACTCAGGCTGCCTTTAAGCCACATGTATGAATCAGGCTTCTTTTAAAGCACAAACATGTTCTGTCCCACAGTTTCTTCCGTGACTGCCTTAAATCAAAAGTGTATTCTTTTATGCAATATTCCTTATTTGTTTTTCCATATGCTTGTGATAGAGTTGAACCACTTAACAGTGCCTAGTACATTATTCTTCACCTGTTTTCCGTAATAATGGCTTTCAGCTGACTCTCTAAATGTTATGCCATGTAACAGAGCAGGGAGGAGAAAGCCTAAGGACTCACTCCTGTTTGCAGTTGCTGCAAGTTTTTCTTGAATGTCTTTGGTATTAAGAAGCCTATTTTACCTGCACAGAATACCACTTGCTTGCCATTAAGGGGAAACATTACACTAGTCCAGATTTAAGGCTACTTATTCTCATGATTTCTTAATAATACCCACAGCCAGTGGATGAATAACTCTTGGTCCTACATAGAAAAGTCTTTTAAACTTCAGAAGTTTTAGGTAATGTTGTCCTGTTGGTGAGAAATCCAGTGCACCAGGAAACTACAGGAGAGAGTAGGGAGAGATTCATTGAGGCCTCAGTATCTGTAAAGTATGTTGATGTTTGCCAAAACCCAGATTTATGTCACTAAAAGTTTAGAGTGTCCCAGCTCTCCTGTAGCATGCATGTATCCTGGAACCCAAATACCATCTGTGGTGGGCATAAATTCAAATGCTTTCAATAAATGGAGGTTTTTTTCTTCCATATGTAATTTCACAGCATCT